ACCTTCCTCTTGTTACTGAAGCAAATACTCTATGGGTTTCCCAGACTTTAATTAGCGTTTACAAAGGTAAAAAAAATTCAGTCTATTAATGATTCTGTCTTTCACATGAGATAGCCATCAGAGAAACCACTCTGTTTCTCAACCAAGATATTGCATTGACAGGGGATCTGTTGCCCAAAAGAAACCATTAAAACTGACAGGAATAAAAAATGTTGGTTCAATTGGCACCACAGAATCAAATAGATAAAAGAACAGGAATGAGTGTTTCAATGGTGGCTAGTAGCAGATGGAATCACAGCCAGGAATATGAATGATACCATGTATTTGTCAATCACTTTCACAGTGCCAATTCCCATTGTGCCTTTGCTTTTGCAACCCCTCCTACCAGAGGCATAAAAGTCTCTTTTTGAGAAAAGATCCCTGGAAATTTGCTATGGCAATAGATGGCTCACCCTGCTCCTTTTGTGAAGATGCTTGTGGCATAATAATGACCTGCAATGACAACAACTTTTGAGGATCATATACTTATTTCGAATACATATTTCAAGCTTTATGATGGAAATCTATGATGCTCAAAACTATAGCATTAATCTCCTAGTGAATTTCCATTAATACCTTAATCATCGAGCATACACCTTATGGTGTACCATGGTATGGCTATGGTATACCAAACATCCATGAGCATCAGGCTGTGGTACCTGCATAGCATCACAACTGACAAGAGTGAAGGAAATGCTAATTTTACCTCAGCTGATCTTGTAGCCTGTGTGGTCTGCAATATGCACTATGTCCCAAGTCAATATTTAGCACTACACAGGATAAATAGCTTTAATATCAGCCATAGGCTTAAAATAATTACCAAGGCAGAACAGGAAAAATGAAGGCCTAAATGCAGTAACCACCTTTAGCTAATTCTCCTTCATAAATCAATAGATTTCCTCTAGGAAAATAAGCTCTTCAGATGAAAGGTCCTAAACAAGGTTTCAGCATTTGGGTCTAAGGCTCTACAATTATGGCACCTAGCCCAGTAATAGGCCAGCATNGATGCTGATGGAGTAAGTACTTTGGATATAAGAAGAACTAGGAGGCTCTGTATCTTATTCAATGTTAAACTATCTTAATGCTTGAAGCTCTTGCCACCATTGTTCTAAATTTCCTGTGAATTCTGGCCGTGAATTCTCGTGCTTTCTCGTGCGATTCTTGATCTTTTCCTTTTCAGCATGCATAGTTTAACAGCTCCCAATTTTATAGGGAGATGGTGCTTAAGTTTGTTTGACTAAGAGCATGGTGCTGATATGTATCCACCAGCATAGGTATTTGGAATAGCCACTTGCTTGCTGCAAGTATATTTTATGGCTTGGTGTGTGAAAATAAGAGTTTGGTTTGAGCAGGGGTTGGGAGCCTATGGTTCATGAGCCAAATTTGCCTCACGAGCTGAAAAGTTTGACTCATTGAGTCATGGCTGAAAGTCATGGTTGTTTCTCATTTTTATCATGTATCAAAGAATGCATATGTCTGTTCCCAACTTCAGGAGAAATTCTATTGTTTGCTCACAAACACTTAGTTCAATCTGAATATGGCTCCTAGGTTAGAGCGAGTCAGTTGAGCTAATGGCCCAACAGTGAACAAATTTTAAGCAAGAAGGAAGCTTTGTTTCTAGGTGAACCCATGGATGCATCAAATATTATTATATAGGTGTTTGTCATCATTGTTTTGGGGTTAATGGTGTAGTTATCCTGTGTTATGCCTTTCAATCAACCTTCATAATAGGAAGACTCGATGCTCTTTTTATCAGCAGGAAGTTTGTTGGACATACATTGGTGAGGTCCTAGTTGACCCACTCTGTTGGGTGACGCAGAATGTCAGACTTTCTCGAGAGGGAAGCCGAGGAGGATGACGAGGAGGACGAT